AGATTGAATTTAAGATTTGGGAGATGGGATATGCAAATTACACAATAAATATTTCCTATTCTCCTAAGATACTCTTAGGCTATCACTATTTTGATTTTAATTATCCATCAGCTTAAAAAAAAAAAAAAACTTTTCTATTCCAGATGATGATAGAGAAAGAAGTCTAATTAATTAGAGCAGAGATTGGCAAGCTATTATCCATGGGCCAAATCCTTCTTGTTGCCTATTTTTGTAAATGAAGTTTTATTTTAACTCAGTTATGCCTGTTGTCTTAAGTATTGCTTACAGCTGCTTCCAGGCTACAAAAGCAGAGTTATGTAATTGTGTCAGATACAGCATACCCCATAAAACCTAAAATATTTACTGTCACCTTCCAGAAAAAGTTTGCAGACCCCCAAATTAGAGGAATGGTACATTTAGTCTTTGTGTTTATTGAAACTGAATCTACAAAAATACCCCAAGTAATTTTGCTACAAATAGGCTAACAAGATTTTAGATGGGCAATTTAGAGATCAAATCAAGACACCTAAATTGCAGAATAAAATGTTGAAAAATGACATAAGAAATGTTGGGATATAGAGGACTTAATGTTTTGTTTTGTTTTTGTTTTTTTGAAACAGAGTCTTGCTCTGTCGCCTAGGCTGGAGTGCAGTGGCGAGATCTCAGCTCACTGCAACCTCCGCCTCCCAGGTTCACGCCATTCTCCTGCCTCAGCCTCCCGAGTAGCTGGGACTACAGGCATCCACCACCACACCCGGCTAATTTTTTGTATTTTTAGTGGAGAGGGGTTTCACCGTGTTAGCCAGGATGGTCTCGATCTCCTGACCTCGTGATCCACCCGCCTCAGCCCCACAAAGTGCTGGGATTACAGGCGTGAGCCACCATGCCCAGCTGATGACTTAATGTTTAGAATAATTCTGGGTTCTGTGAAAGATGAAATTCAGAGCACCCACATACTCCCTGTTGAAGAGGCATCTGCCTTTTGTTATGTACTTACACACAATGGGAAGTAGCCAACACCACAGAGTTTGTTATGTACTTACACACAGTGGGAAGTAGCCGGCTCCACAGTTTTGCCATGGTGTCAAGTTTTGATGGCGCTTTTTAAAATAACTTTTGTAGTTTCCGAATTAGGGAACATCAATCAAATTGGAAGATTCAAACTCTTCAATTTTTGAAACCTGTGTACATGGGCTTCTTCTCCCAAAGACGATCTTATTTCTGTTGGACTTGTCTCACTTCAGTTTGCCATGATAATAAGAGGGAACCTTCAGAGGATGTGAAGGGGAGTTGTTGCTTAAAGGGTATGAAGTTTCAGTTAGACATGATGAATAAGTTCTGGACGTCAGTTGTACTGCATGGTGACTATAGTTAATAATGTATTATATATTTGAAAATCGCTAAGAGATTAGATTTTAAGTATTCTTACGACAAAATAATAAGTATGTGAGGTGATAGATATGTTAGCTCGATTTATTCATGGTGTGTACATATCAAAGTGTCATGTTGTATACCATATATATGTACAATTTTTATGTATCAGTTTTCCTTAATAGAGTTGAGGGAGTAGGGATATTTTCTTTCCTTAAATCTATATGTTACCTAGAAATACCTAATGTCCCGAATCCTTTAAGAATCCAAAATCATTTAGTAGAAGGTTTCAAAATACCGTAACTTTCACTAATTTTATAAAAACATTCTTGAAAGCATCTTGTATATAGAACTTCTAGAAGTATAGTGGAAAAGTGCCTGGACTGAAGTCACAAGTTCTTAACTAGACCACTAACTAGATGTTGAGAAAAGCTGGGTTTCTAGTACCAGCTACCTATCTCTGGACTTCTTTTAGGAGAAAAGCCACTAATTTTAATGCTAAATCCACTGATTTGGGGGCATTTTCTCACGGTTTAACCTAATCCTTACTAACGAGAGTTGTAGTAGACTAGTTTATCTCTAAAGACTTTACAGTTCTGTATCTCCACACATTTGTGTGAGGTAGAGCTAGTGGAGGGAAATAAATAGAAGTGGTCTGTATCTGGTCAAGATAAAGCAATGCTATTACAGAACTACAAATTTTATGGTAATAAAAGACATACTATTTCCAAAAAGCAACTGACTCTCGTGTTCATTTTTACACATTTCTCTTTCCTTATTTAACTTTTGAGTTTCTTATTTTATCCTGTTTCTTTCATTTTCGCTTTATATCATTCTTATTCTGTATTAGAGCTGTTAGTGCTATGCCAAGAATTTCTTGTGTTGTGGCTGTTCTTCAGGAGGTTGTTCCTGAGGAAGGTTGATGAGTAAGGCACTGAGCCATCTCTAGCTGCAGGAGGACTGGAGAGAGAGGTGTGTCTTTGTTGATAGAGTGACTACAGATTTGGATGGCACTTCAGGTCATTTAGGGTAGGAAAGTACAATAAGCTGGGGACCCTTCTCAACCCCACACACCCATGTCCTCCTGTAACCCTGATGGTAGTTATATTAATTGTATCAGAGTCTCTCTTTTTTCATGGATGTGTTTCTTCAGATATTCAAAGGCTTTCACATCATTCCTTTCTCCTTAAGCGGTTATTCTGTTTCGTTGTGGGTTCTTTAATTCATTTAATAAATACTTGTTAAGCACATGCCATGTGTTTTTTGTTGAGTTCTGGGGACATAGTGTTCATCACCTCCCTGAGAGTTTGCCATCAAATGGGAAAGTCAGAGAAGGAAACAGGCAATTATAATACGAAATAAAAACTGAGGAATTAAGGAAGCCAGCATTGACTTTTTTAAAACATTGAACCAGCATGGTTAATGGAAAGAGTATTGGTTTTAGGTTTTGTTGATCCGGATTCTATTGCTTAATAGTTATGTGACTTTGGGAACATTAACCTCCATCAATACTGCAAGATTATCCTAAGTTTTAGAAATACATAGGTAAAGCACTTACCCTAGTACCTGCTGAGTAAATAATTTCTTCCTTTTTCCTAAGTTGTACATCCCTAAATTGTTGTAATTCTGAAGCCTATAAATAGAAAGTCAATTCCTCTGGCCCCTACTTCACAGGCGATGTGAAAACTGGATATAAAATTATTTTTAAGACACTTTGTGAACACTCTGCCCATAAACTATTAGTACAGTCCAGTTTTGTAATTGTTTCTTGTAAAATTTATCCAAAATTCCATTATTAAGATATATTGACTATAAACAAATACCTTAGGAATTTACAGTATTGCTTATAAAATATGGCATTGCACCAGTAATTCTGTAATCACTGGTCTTGAATTTGTCAACTTAAGAGGAAATACTTCACTGTCTTCCCACCTCCCTCAACCTGTAGTTTAGCATACCAGTTACTCTTAGTCAAATTGTGGTTTTTGTCTGGAAGGGTAATGGTTATAACATTTATTCTTGAGATATTTAAAAAGCAGTCAAGTAAGTCATCAGTAAATTGATTAAATCTATTTTCTTAAGATTCATCAATATAGTTTGAATGTTCTCTATTTGAAGAATTGAAAAACTATAGAATTTAGGGATTAATACTATGTTGTATTTAGAAATGAAATAGCCAAACTAGAAACTGAAGTTGGTATAACAGCAACACAGGTTTGTAATTTTTCAAAAGCATGACAGTTGGTAGTTCACATCAGAATATTACAGTTGGGAGAATCAAATCTTGTTTCATTATGTGACTGATCTTTCCAATTTTGCTATGCTTTATGTAATAACTGTTCCAGATTTATTTTTCTGTCATAAGTGTACCTTAAAAATAAGAGAAGCTAATGTTATTCTTTATAAGAAATGTAAACTTTAAGATATCAACACAATGTAGAACTATTTTCTCTATATTTTATATAAATCATTCTAAATCATAAATGGGAAATAGTGATCAAACAATTATTTACGTTCCTACCAAAAGAAAAGGCCCAGTGAGGCAGAGTGAGGAGGGATAAGGGGTGGGGAAGAAGCCTGAGGCTTATGTTGGTAGGAGCACCACAGTGAGACTGGGTGACAGCATGAGAAAAATAGATGTGTTCTTCCATCACTGCTGTTCCCTCTGTTTGAATTAGACAAATGGCACATACCCAAGGGGAACTAGGGACAATGCTCTGAGGACAGTAACCACTTCCATACAGCCCTGCCAGATTCGTGAGAGCAATGGTGCATCTGCTTTTTGTTGCCATTGTTGTTACTTAACCTTGTCATGGACACATTATTGTTTCTGTGGCATTTCTTTTGTGGGTTCTCACTCATATTACTTTCTATATCATGGCTATGCTGGATTGTCTGTTGGCAAGTCAGCACCATTTACCCTTTCGGCACCTTGACTGATACACTGGTTTCTGAGAAGTGTGCATGTTGGCTTTTTTCCCCTCTCATTTTGTCTCCCCTTGTTCCATACCACCAAATATAAAATTTAGATACCCCGAAATCCATTACAGATAATTGATCTGTAGAGATTTTGTTTTGATTTGGTTTTGTCTTTTTTTTTTTTTCCTTTTAATGGCAAAATTTCATTTTTACCCTCCTTCCCACTGCAATAGCAAAATTCCACACACTGGAACTGCTTTTACATCCCCCTTTCTCCCAGAGCTGCCTCTCTTTTAAGGAAGGCTCTTGTTTGAAAACATTAATGCCAAGAAAGGCATTCATTGATTTATTTAGTAAACTTTTTGTGAATTTTTGTAACCTTCATAACACTGTGCTAAGTGGTATTTATAGATGATTCAGTGAAGTACACAAAACTAGTTGGATTATGAGGGTAAAATAGTCAAAATATATTCATCAAAACTACTGTTTAAATCATACTATTATACAAAGCTTGTATTTACAGAATGTTTCCAAATGTTCTGTTGTAAAATGTAGTTAATACCGGTTACTTTCAACTATGGGTTAATTTTTTTCAACTCTTCCCTTAGATAAGCTGTGTTGCCATTATAACATTTAAATGAGTTTCATGCTGAGTTTTGTATTGTTAAACTGTGTCTGGAAGCTAAACTTTATAATGTGTTACATTTTAGGTCAGAAGACATGTCTTCATCTACATGGCATCTTTCCTTACCTCTATGTGCCATACGATGGTTATGGACAGCAGCCAGAAAGCTATCTTTCTCAGATGGCATTCAGTATCGACAGAGCACTTAATGTGGCTTTAGGCAATCCATCTTCCACTGCTCAGCATGTGTTCAAAGTGTCATTAGTATCAGGAATGTAAGTATATGATAATATATTTTATAATTTCTGTTTATGTTGCTCTTCTATTTGGAGGAAAACACATTCAGTTGATATACTCTATTTCTTTTACTTCTAGTCTAATGCAACTGCAGTGAATTTCTTGCTGTAACTTTTTAACATGAATTTTTATGTCAGTGGAAGGTAGAGAGTCAACAGTGATTTTTGTTGTTTCCTTTTCCATTTCTCTGCTTCCTAGAACTATAGAAATTCATGTAATTTATTCAGCAAATATTTATTAAGTACTTTTTATATGCTAAGCACTGTTCTAAGTACTTGGGATATATTGCTGAACAAAACAAAAATCCCTGCCCATGTGGAAGTTACATTCTGCTATGAGAAACAGATAATAACCAATAAATACAACATTACATTAATTTATTTGCTATATGATAATTAGAACGGTGTAAGGAAAGAATCTATACAAGCAGGATAAGAAGGATCAGTAGTATGGGGTAGGGAAGTAGACTAGTGACAATTTTAAAGTAATCAGGGAATGTGTCATTGATAAAGTAACAACATCTGAGCAAAGACCTAGCAAAGTAAGAGAGTAGGAACAGCATGGAAGCCAGGTGACTGAAATGGAAGAGTAAAGAAGAATTGGACTAAATGAGGTAAGAGAGATATGAGAGGATAGAGATTGTGAGGACCAATGATTCTCAAAGTGTGGTTTCCATACTTTGGTTTCCTAGTATCACCTACTATCATTAGTTTTACCTAGCTTGACAGCCATGAGAATATACCTGTCAGGTCTCCAGATACATAGAGAATGAGTGAATGGTTCCAGCTACTATACGCTCAATTCCAGTCTCACTCCACATGACCTGCTTTCCATCGGCTACTCTTACCCTGTGACTGAGCATGGCAAAGATACTAAAGCAGGTCTGTAAGACATCCCTCTGTCCACTTGAGATGAGACTGGTATCTAGGTCTGGTGGCTATGCCAGCTTCTTCTGGCTCCCTTCTCATTTTCTCTTACCTTTGGCATTTACTTCTTGGAGGACTCGGACTAACACACCTGGGAACTTGGTAATACTACATTCTTGGGGCCCTGCAATTTGTGTTTTAATAAGCCTTTCTGATGATTCTTATGCCTGCTTAAATGTTTGGTTATCACTCAGTAGGCTAATATAAGGACTTTGACTTTTACTCTTAAGTTATTACGTGATTTCAAGCAGCCAAGATCTGGCTTAAACTGGAAAGGATTACTTTAGCAACTGTATTAATAATAGATTGTAGGGGGACAAGAATAAGAGCAGGGAGAGAATTAGGACATTAATCTGGGTAGGAAAATATGGTGGCTTGATATTAAGGTAGAAAAGACCTAGGAATTAAAATTAAAACAAAAAAGAAAATAGTGTGGCTTGAACTAGGGTGGTAGCAGGAAAGTAATGTGGAGTCATCAGCTTCAGGATCTATTCTGAAGGTTGAGTTAATATACTAAATTTGCTGTTTGATTGGGTAAGGATTGTGAGAGAGAAATCAAGGTTGGCTGCAAAAATTTAAGTGTGTTCTGCTAGTAAGACGGAAGGTGGAGGTGGAGCCAACTGACAGGAAAGCTCTGGAGCTCATACAGGAACATTTGAGTTGTTTTATCTCTGTATGAAATCCAAGTGGAGACCTTAAATCTCTGCTTTCTTCCACCTTAATCTAGGCTTTCCTCTGGACCATGATAGTATCATTTTCATTGAATTTCGTTCTATTTTTATCTCATTCCAGAGCAACAGAAGTCCTCTTCTTATACTGTAAATTGAAAATCATTTAAAAATTCTTGAGTGGCTTCATATTGTTAATAGAATACAATTTAAACTTCTAGCCATAACCTATGTGACCTCACCCCTGTCTATCTCTGAAACTTTGCTTTCTGTATTCCATTCAGAAACAGTGATCTTCTCTCAGTTACTCTGCTATCCAAGTTGTTTCTCACCTAAGTTCTTTGTATATACAAGTTTCTTTCCTTGAGTATTCTACCCTTCCCCAAGCATTCAGATCGTTGACCTCTTCAGAGAAGTTTTCTTTGACTATCCCACTTAAAATAAGGTATTTTAAGTAGGGCATTATTATTATTGTTGTTTTTATTATTCTGTATCTCAGCCCATTATTTGTTTTCTTTAGCACTTAATACAGTTTGCAGGTATTTTAATTTTCATTTATTTACTTAATTTTTATGTGTTTCTTCCACTAGCATGTAAACTGCATGCTCGTGCTCTAGCATGTTATGAGATGGCTCAATAACTATTTGGTTGGATAAATGAATGAGGTGAAAGTTTACACTCATCCTATAACAGAAGCAATAATTATGTTAGGGATAATTATCTACTTTATCTTTTAGTTTTGTTTATTCTTGATAGTTTCCAATAACTCTCCTATATATATCCTCATTTCAAAGTTGAGTCTCCAAACAGCCCAGTGAAATGCATAGTCACTAATCTTCCTGTATTTTTGTATTTGTTAAAGACATTGCCACATTTTTAGAGAAGTTGAGTTACAAATCTGGATACATGGGGCAAAAGATGAGCTGCTCACTCTAATTTTTCATTGCAGTTTTCTTTTTTCTTCTAATTTTTTGGTCATTTTCTTCCCTAGATCCCCTTTTTCCTTCTCATTCACTCTACCTTCTCTAATTCCTTTACTCCTTCAATTTTTCCTACTTCTTTAAGTTACATAAAGTTGCATCTAGCTACCAAATTAACATTTATATGAGGTTTAACTGTATTCATTTTAGACTATCACTATCCTGAGGCTGAGTTAAGAGATAGGATCATGACCTTGGGCAAATTTCTGGGATTTCTTCTTACTCAATGATTTTAGAGAATCTTCTGTAAAGAGATTCTCAATCCATCAAAATTAATTAGGTGAGATTTTTCACTATCCACACTCATTTTCCTTCCTGTTGATATACTTTAAAAACTAACACTAATTACGAGATACGATTTTTTTAAACATGAAAACATCTACTTTCAAACTCTTCCATTCTACTTTTTTTCCCCCAAAGAATCTCCTTGATAAGGAATTCTTTTGGCAAAACCATTCATCTGGCTGAAGATAGCCCATATTTCCAGAGAGCTACCTTTGTATGTATGAAACATACCATAGCAGGAAAGGGCTGTAATTAAGGTTGAATTTGCTAGTGAGAGAGAATGATATCATGTATGTAATGTGTCTTTCTTTAACCCATTCTTCATGGCAACAAAATAGGGTGAACAGCAGCAAACTAGACCGGAAGTGGTATTATAAAAAGTTAAGAAAAGGGTGAAGGGTGAGAGGAAGGGATGGTCAGGTGAGACTTTTCTGAGAAGGTAAATTAAGCAGAGTTCTGAATGAAGATTAAACAAGCCATGCGGAAGTCCAGAGCAGAGCTTTCCACTTGAGGGATCGAGTTAGAGGGCCTGAAATGTTAAGAGTGGCTGGAGGAGAAGGAAGAATGGTATGACTTGAGATTGGAGTGAGAGGCAAGGATGAGATGAGGAACCCTTTAGACCTTGGTAAATAGTTGGATTTTTTTTTTTAAACAGAAATTACTTTATAGCAATAATACAGGTGGCTTAAAACAACTTAAAAAATTGTTTATACCCAAAATAATGACTCTGCTACCAAATTAGTCCTTTATTTGATGTCCACTACACTATTAGACATCACAGAGAGGTGGTGTCCTAATGAGAGTAAATTCTATTATCTACTGCCTGTCATAAGGGAACAATGTTTTTAAATGAAGAGTGATTGGGTTTATCCACCTAAAGATTTAACCATGTATTAACAGACCACTTTTAAGCCAATACAAAGCCTTTTATTTCATTCACAAATTTACACCTGTTTATGTATTGTTTCTAATTAATAATCTTTGAAAATAGTTTTCTGCATATCAGAGGTTGTAGTGTAGTTTCAGATCCTCCTGAAATGATGTGAGAGTTCAGCTTATTTCATCTTGCACCGAGGATTTCTCTCCCTGTTATGTAGTCTTTTGTTTCCCCCTTTCCGCATTCCAGCTGATACCCTGAGAAAAAACTCAGCCATAACATGATTAGGTTGCTTAAGTAAGTTCATGGTCTTTTTCAGTCTCTTACGTTCCTGTCTACACAGTTTTTTCAGAGGCTTCTCTTGATATTGTTGTGTGTTGCAGTTTTACTCATGTCAGCTACTGAAATATATTCTGTGTGCACATATAATAGGTAAATTGTCTCTGCCTATTGAACTTATAAAATTAATAATAAACAGCTGAATAAGGAAAGTAATATAAGTGTTGTTAAAGGACTTTGTTGATGAAGAACTTCAGTTTTTGTTTTTCTTTTTGTTTGTTTGTTTGTTTGTTTTTGAGATGGAGTCTTGCTCTGTTGCCCAGGCTGGAGTGCAGTGGCACAGTCTCGGCTCACTGCAAGCTCTGCCTCCTGGGTTCACGCCATTCTCCTGTCTCAGCCTCCCGAGTAGCTGGTACTACAGGCGCCCGCCACCACGCCCGGCTAATTTTTTATATTTTTAGGAGAGACGGGGTTTCACCGTGTTAGCCATGATGGTCTCGATCTCCTGACCTTGTGATCCGCCGGCCTCGGCCTCCCAAAGTGCTGGGATTACAGGCGTGAGCCTCTGCGCCCAGCCCGAACTTCAGTTTTTAACAAAAAAATGAGAGCCAGAAGAAGGTGACTGAAAGGTCTGTTTCTCTCGTATGTAGAGTAAAGCAAACAAAAATATGTTTTCTTATATGTGGAGTAAAGAAAACAAAAAACCACTTAAAGTCTTAATGTTTGAGATTAAGGGTTGGATGGTTTGCTCTTCCTTTTTGTCCATAGTTTTTTCAGAGTGATAATTTTTAATTCCCATCATCAGTAATGCAAAGAAAGTGATATTTTTTACACTTTTTAAAAAAGCTTTAGTATTTCATATGTTAACCTTTGCTAGGTTTAACTGAAAGGTTTGGGTTTTTTATAATTGTTTTCTGTGGGGGTGGATAATATTAAATGTAAGACTGAATTTGGCCAGCTGAATCTAATTAGGGCAGTAAGTTGCATTATTTCGTCTCTGAATTATGAAAATCATTTGTAATATCTTTTTCTTATATTTCAGGCCTTTTTATGGTTATCATGAGAAGGAAAGACACTTTATGAAGATCTATCTTTACAATCCTGCAGTGGTGAAAAGGTACAAAAATAAATGAAACCAAAACATGAATAACTATCATTTAAGTATTTTAATAATAAAAAAAATCTAGAAAGAAGGCCTCTATAGTTTGTAGTCTTGTTAAAGACAGAGACCGTAAAATACACATGTATGTGTATAGGGAGAGGCCAGTGGCTTGAACTCTATGAAGGATGTTTTAGAGGTGGAGGCTCCCAACTGCTTCTTTCCTGTTACAGATTAGAGAGTTCATAGAAGTAAGTAAGGAGAGATTATGCTGCCATGTATGATGTTAGCCCTCTTCTGGCCAGACCTTAGTTCAGCATTAAGAGAAAGTTGCTCTTTAGCATCAAAGCAAGGAGAAATGTGTAGGAATGAGTCCAGAGCGAGAGGGCTTCTGAGATCTCAGAAACCTGTTGACTCTTTTTACTAGATGTTGGTGAAATTTTATATTCCAGGTTTTTTGTTAGTTTTGGTTTTGGTTGTTTTTTCTTCTCTCAGTTAGTCTCCCTGCCTCTAGTTTATCCTCTCAATCATCTTGGAGCCCAGGTTATTGAGGGCAGGGAAGGGCACATATATGGAAGATTTTAATCATCCTTTCAGATTCAAAACAAGGATTTTCACTATGTATAGTAGCAAGCTAGGGTAAAAGTGGCCTTGGAGGTGTACTAAGTACTGTTTTTTTCAGGAGGTCTTTGATGTTTTCAAGAATCTCTTCCATCTATCGGCTATTCCCATCTTTCTTTCCAATTCTATTTTAATGTTAATAAAACTTTGCTAATTATACGCACACGTTCATACTCATAGAAACACCTTTCTCTTATAGCCATTCTCCTTGAAAGATTTATCCAACTTCTTACCTCTCATTCATTGTTTGTTTGTTTGTTTGTTTGAAACGGAATCTTGCCCTGTTGCTCAGGCTGGAGGGCAATGGCACAATCCCAGCTCACTGTAATCTCAGCCTCCCGGGTTCGTGCAATTCTCCTGCCTCAGCCTCCTGAGTAGTTAGGATTACAGGCACCACCACCACGTCCAACTAATTTTTTTGTATTTTTAGTAATGACAGGGTTTCTCCATGTTGGCCAGGCTGGTCTAGAACTCCTGACCTCAAGTGATTCGCCTGCCTCAGCCTCCCAAAGTGCTGGGATTACAGGAATGAGCCACTGTTCTCGGTTTTCCCATTTACTCTTTAATTTATTCCAATATGGCTTCTACCCCAACCATTTACTGAAAATTGCTTTCACTAATGACCTCTGTGTTGCTAAATCCAATTTTAGGTCCTTACTTTTTGACCTCATGGTGATGCTTATGATGCCTTAAAACAATTCTAAATGTCAGCTTCTGTGATATATACCACCTCTAGTTTTTCTCATACCAGTCTGATCATTCGTATTTCTGCCATTTTGTTGGTTTCCCTTTTAACATCTATGGTTGTTTCTTAGAATTCTGCCTTAGACTTTCATCTTTTCTCTGCATATTTTCTCTTCTCTCTACAGATTTATCTACTTCCATGGGTTTGTTTGGTTTTGGTTTTTGTTTATCTTTATGCTTTTGACTTCCAAATGAATATGAGTAGCCTGATTTCTCTCTAGAGCTTCTAAACAATATATCAAACCACCTACTGGGTAGATAGAATAGCCCAGTGGTTATGAGTGAGGGCTCACAAGGCAGAGAAAATTTGATTTGAATTTTAGCCCCTTTGTTTTTTTAAGAGACAGGATCTTGCTGTGTTGCCCAGGATGGAGTGTAGTGGCGCCATCATACCTCACTGTAACCTGGAACTCCTAGGCTCAAGGGAGGTCCTCCCACCTCAGAGCTCTTCTGCCTTTTATTTGTGTGATTTTAAAATCTGAGATAATTTCTTTATTTGTAAAATGGAGATGATCGTACCACAGACTTGTAATAAACGTTACTTGTAATAAAGTACTTTAGCACAGTATCCAATATATAGTGATCACAAATACGTTAGTTACCTTTGCTATGGTGATAAAATGATTATTATTTTCTTTGTGATTCTTTTCCAATATTATTGTTGGATCCCCACTATACCTAAATGCCTTTGTGTCTAACTTGAGTTTATCCTTATTCCCCTTCCAAAAAATCCCAAACAAACCAATTTTTCTTACAGTTCTTCCCCTTTCAAATAATTGCAACACCACTAACCAGCTGCTTAAGCAAGAAATCTAGGCATCACCTTCAGCCCCTTTTCTGTCTCACCCTTCACATCTAGTTAGTCATCAAGGCCTGATCATTTCACCCCTTATGTGTTTCCTGAATCAATACATTTCTATGATCCTTGTTACAGCCACCATCCTTAGTTTTTCCACAACAGCCTATTTACTCCTTACCTGTGGTCTTCTGTGTTCTATAGCTCGCCTGGTGATGTCACTTTTCTGCTATTCACCTCTCAGACAAATTTCACTGCCTCTTCACATGTCTTAACAGGCTCTGCATGCTCACTCTTCTCATTACTTCTCTATCCCTGCCTCTGACACTAGGTCACAGTCTTACTCAGTGGTTTCAGTTCCTGAATAAGCCATGTTTTCTCGTGACCCTTTACATGTGCAGTTTTATTTACATGAATACTCTTCCCTCTCTTCAGAGAAAAAAGTGCCTCTTTTTTAGTTTCTTGCTTAGAGACTTTCTCTAAGGTTTTGCAGAAACATCCTCTGCACCTCTAATCTGATTAGTATCTTTTCTAGATGTTTAATAGATTTCCCCACGTAGTACTTAACTATGCTGTGTGTAATTGTCTGTTGTTTGTATTCATCATTGTGAAGGAAAAAAAAACTCAGGAAAGAAAAATATCAAAATGGCAATACCTCTGAGTGGTGGGATTATAAGTAATGATTTCTTTCCCTTTTTTGAATATTTAATCTTTTCAAAATTATTTGTTATTTTTAAAAGAAAAATTTTATTTTAAAAACCTTTTGGTATTTTAATTTTTAAACATAGTATCAAATTGGCTTAAGACAAAATATTCTTCATCCATGCAGTTTTTTTGTTATTCAGAACATGTTGCTTACTTTAAAACTTGATTGAAACTTTTAATTTCTGACAAAATACAAATTTCCAGTAAAACTGAAAAGAAAATTTTGTGTGCTAGTAAGTACTTTGTTCTCTATATTTCTATATTTAACATTTTAGGGAACATAATTTTATGATAAAACTTTTTTTTTCTAATTTAGGATATGTGAACTTTTGCAAAGTGGAGCCATAATGAATAAATTTTACCAGCCTCATGAAGCGCATATTCCCTACCTCCTACAGCTCTTCATTGACTACAATCTTTATGGCATGAATTTAATAAATCTGGCTGCTGTCAAGTTCCGAAAAGCAAGAAGGAAAAGTAAGGTTAATTTTCAATCAAAGTTTGAAACAAGTGTTGTATAGTCAGTGATTTATAAAATACATATTTAGAAAATAAATGTTGAGTGACTAAAGAATGAAAAGAAATATTTGCACAGTGGAATTAGATTGTCAGAAAAAGCATCTCAGAAAAACATTTTTTTAGTAACAGCTTTATTGAGTTATAATTTATATCCATTTAAAGAGGACGGTTTGATGGTTTTTAGTATACAGGCTACCTAAAAGGTATTGTGGGTTTAGTTCCAGACCACTGCAAAAGTGAACCCTTTACATTGCTTAGCAATTGATATGTATTGTGATTCTTTTTTTTTTTTTTAACCTCAGACCTTAATGTTACTTTTTATATTTTAGGAATAGTGTATGATACACAATTCTAGAAATCCCTGGAGTTGTTAGAGCCTTGTTACTTTAGTCCAGCACTTCCCTGATGAGGTGAATAGCTGTAAGTTAGTGGAGGTGTTGGTCTCTCAGCATTCCAGACGGATTCTTAAGTCCCTTGAGCCATCACCTCCACCAATGAACATCCTTGTCCATTTTATCTCAGTGGGTCGTGCAAGCGTTATTGTATTTCTTTGTGTGACATGACCTGAAAAATATTGCAAGCAGAGCTTTCTCTGGGTGAATTTGGTACTGCTTTAAAGTTGTTTATTTATAGAGCCTTTGATATTATGAACAAAACAGAATAACATGGTTATTTGAATAAGTTGATTTCCTCTCAAAACAAATTTATTTCTCCTTTTGCATTTGTAACTTTCTGAGGTGAAAATTATGAGATTCCCAGATTTTTTACTGTGGGAATGAAAAGTTACAGACGAGAGAAGGCTAGAGCATCTTGAATGGTGAATCCTTTCTGGAAAGTTTTCAATATATTTTGCCCAGATCCATCAGTGGAATCACTTTCAGTGACAGCTATAGCCTTATGAAATGCACTTCTTAAATCATAAGACTTGAAAGTCAAAATTACTCTTTGACCCATGGGATGCAGAATGGATGTTGTGTTAGCAGGCAGGGAACCAACATTAGTCTTCTTGTACATCTCCATCAGACGTATTGGGTGACCAGGTGCATTGTCAGTGAGCAGAAATAGTTCGAAAAGAATCTTTTTTTTTTTTTTGAGCAGTAGGTCTCAACAATGGGCTTAAAATATTCAGTAAACCATGCTACAATTGGTATACTGTCATCCATGCTTTTTTGATCCACTTGTAGAACACAGGCAGAGTAGATTTAGCGTAATTTTTAAGGGCCCTAGGATTTTCAGAATGGCAAATGAGCATTGGCTTCAACTTCAAGTTACCAGCAGCATTAACTAACCCTGCCAAGAGAGTCCTTTGAAGCTTTGAAATCAGGCATTGACAGCTCTCTAGCAATGAAAGTTCTAAACAGCATCTTCTTCACAGATAAGGTTGTTTTCATCTACATTGAAAATCTGTTATTTAGTGTATCCACCTTCATCAGTTATCTTAGCTAGGTATTCCGGAGAACTTGCTGCAGCTTCTGCATCAGCCCTTGCTGTTTCACCTATCTACAGTAAGGCTGTTTCATACGTTTGTGTGTTCCATTGGAGTAGCACTATTCATTTCCTTTAAGAGCTTTTCCTTTGCATTCACTACTTGGCTAACTGGCACAAGAGACCTAGGTTTTGGCTTATTTTGGCTTCTGACATGCCTTCCTTGGTAAGCTTAATCATTTCTAGTTTTTTATTTAAAGTGAGAGACATGTGACTCTTCCTTTCATTTGAACATTTAGAGGCCATCGTAGGGTTACTAATTGGTTACTAATTTTATATTTGAAATCCATAATTGACCCATATAGTCGTCTTAACTTTGACAAAGACATAATGGTAATTCAATGGAGAAAACATAGCCTTTTCAACAAATAGTGCTGGTATAATTGGATGTCCATATGCCAGAAAATAAAAATAAAAACATATTTTTATATGGTCTTCACACGTTATACATCACATATACTTCACACCTTAAATAATAATTAAAATGCTTCAGAAACTTAAATGTAAATTACGAACCTATCAGAGTTCTAGCAGAAAATAAAGGGAAAATGTGTCCAGTCTTGAGTTTGGCAATGAAGTTTCAGATATAACACCAAAAGCATGATCCGTGAAAAGATAAATTACTGTTAGATTTCGTCAAAATTAAAAACTTTTACTTTGTGAAAAACAGTGTTAAAAAAATGAAAAGACAAGTCATGGACTGGGAGAAAATGTTTGCAAATTACATATCTGATAGAGGACTTGTGTATAAAATATATAAGAATTATTAAAAATCAACAATAAGAAAGCAAACAGTCCAATTAAAAATGGTGAAAAGACCTAAACAGACACTTCACCAAAGAAGATATAAGGATGGCAAACACGTGAAAAGATGATATTCACCATTATATGTCGTTAGGGAAATGGAGATTAAAACTACAAAGAACTACCACTATATACCTATTAGAATGACTACAATTCACAAGACTAACAATAACAAATGTTGACCAAGAGGTGAAACAGCAGCACTGACATTCTTTGCTGGTGGGAATGCAAAATAGTACAGTCGCTTTGGAAGACAGATAGTTTCTCAGAACACTAAACATAGACTTAGAGTACGACCCAGTGATGGCACTCCTAGGTATGTTTACCTAAGTGATTTAGGTCCACCCAAACCTGTATACAAATGTTTATAGCAACTTTATTCATAATTGCCAAAAATATAAAGCAACCGAGATGTCCACTCAACAGGGAAATGGATAAACTTTGATAACATTTAGTGATAAAAAGGAACAAACAATTGATTCACATAACATGGATGAATCTTTAAAGCATTTTACTAAGTGAAAGAAGCCAGACCAAAAAGGATCCAAACTGTGTGACTTCATTCACATGACATTCTGGAAAAGACAAAACTATAGAAGTAGAAAATGGACTGTTGGTTGTTAGGGTTTAGGAGAGAGGGAAGTATTGACTGCAAAGGGATGTACAGGGGAACTTTTTAAGAGTGAAGGAATTACTCTGTACAGTTCTGGGTTGGTGGATACATGACTATTCATTCTTCAAACTCTATAACCAAGTGATATACCTTAACCAAGTGATGAAGTTTAATGTCACCAGTTATTATGTCATGTGGGTGTCATGTGCCCCCTCATTTGATGTGATAACAAAAGTACTTCACCTCTGTGATATTCTTGCCAAAAACTCATAACCCCAGTCTACTCATGAGAAAAACATCAGACATACCCAAATTGGGAGTTGTCCTACAGATTGTCTCATCAGTACTCATGACTGCGAAGGTCATGTAAAGCAAGGAAAGACAGATAAATAGACCAGAGGAGCCTGGGAAGACGTGGCAACTGAATTCAGTGTGGTGTCCTAGATTGGATCCTGGAACAGAAAGAGGACATTAGTGGAAAAATTGGTGAAATTCAAGTAAAATGTTTTGTTTAGTTAATAGTAATCTTCCAGTGTCAGTTTCTTTGTTTTGACAAATATACCATGATAATACGTTAACAATGAGGTAAACCAGGTGTCCGGTATATGGAAACTGTCTGTAGTACCCTTGGAACTTTTCTGTAAATCTAAAATTATTCAAAAATAAAAAGGTTACTGGGGAAACGAATAAGTTAGTTATCATTGTCAAGTATAACCGAGAATCTAAGGCAGATTGAGGAATGGAAGAGTTTCTAGAGTATATAATTAGGTATTAGAGAAAGAGGAGATAATTTTCATAATTAGTTTTTTCCAGTAGGTGAAAAAGCACAAGAATAGTTTGAATTAGCAAATATACAGAAGCCATTTATTTTATTTATAAAAGTTAGATTATTGGAATGGTACTCAGAAGGGTTTTTTTTCAGAATACAGGAAGTGTTTACAGATTTGAAGGCATCATTATGTGAAATTTATTAGGTTGGTGCAAAGGTAATTGCAGCTTTTGCTATTACTTTCAATGGCAAAATCACAATTACTTGTGTACCATCCTAATAGAAGGGAAATTAAAAACAGGGAAATTGCAGTATGATAAAAGATTTACGTCTTCTTTCATCATATAGTTAGCCCTCAGGTTTTTGCTTTTGTTTAGTATAAGATAAAAGATTATGCTGAAATCATGGACAAAATCAATGAATAATTTGTTTTATTTTATTTTGTCATGTTTTCTCAGGCATATTACAGTTTAACTTGACAGTAAACTTCTTGTAAGTAAATATATGTGTTACATATATGCAGAACTTCATTTTACCTGGTAAATGTAATACATGTTAATGGAGTTTTACTTTTGAAAGTAAAATATATTCAAAAGCGAAAATGATTTAGAAATTTGTGTATTATATGTACGTATACAATTTTGCCTCAGCACTCAGTTGTGTAATCAGTGGTCAAATGAAATGGAAATGATGCTAATTACTGTAGTTGTTAAAGTGAAGTGTATAAAGTATGTAAATGGGACAAATTTTTTTTTCTTCTTTCTTTTTTTGCCCAACATGGGTAAAAGAGGAATAAATGGAGCAAATGTTTTGAGCACCACAGAGGCATTTTATATTTTTTTAACATTCACAGTTGAAAAACATATGTATATGTAATATAGAATTATATATATTTAAATTTGGGAGTTTCCATGTTCTTTAGGGAAATATGCTAAAACAGTACGGTGTAGTAACTGAATCAGTAAACTTGTGTAGATTATTTATTTGTGTCAATTTATTAGAAAATAATATTTGTTGTAATTTACAACTTGCAAAGTAATTTATTATAAATGCCCTATCCATACTGCAGCAAAGCCTTTGGAAATTTCTGAATGTGTATAAGACCAGTTGCGTGTTTTGGCATACGTTTTGTCAAAATAGCAAAGATGTTAATGCCTTGTATCATTCTAACTATACCATCTTGTGATGCACCTAGCCAAATAAGAAAATCAAAGTACTAAATTTAGCTAGAGAGGATTGTAAATTTAGTATCTTAATGTTGGGATTCTTTTTGATGCCACTCATTCA